CAATTAATTAAATTAATTACCACCAGCTATAATTGAACCGTCAACCTCATCTATGGAGAGTTAGGCGCCTAGACCACTAGGCTATGAGACTCTAACCCCAAACTTCCATTTTTTTATATTATTAATATTTTTAATTATACTTAGTAATATTAGAATTTTTAATATTATTTTTATTCTATACTGTATACACATGTTTTTGATAGCTATTTTTAACATATACAGTAAAAATAACTATATGAGCGATTATATTTTGTATAGTTAGCCGTCTATAGAAAATCTATTATGATGATAAATTTTCTATAGACAGTTAACTGAACACAAATATAATTGAAAGTCCCGAACAGCCTTTTTCCCTTGACAGTACTCATATAGTTAATTTTGATATAGCGTAGTTAATCTCTATAACGAACTCTGAAAATAACAAACTACAAATTTTTAAATTTATACTGTATTTAGTTCTGTATAAGCTTGCAGCCAGAACCAACAGTTTATTATATAGTGAACTATTATAAACTAACGCATTTATTCTAAATGCAGCACTAAAAATGCGCGGCAAAAAAAGAATCAGGCCAGAATTACGGAAAATTCTACTAATAAACTGCAGACATCGTGAAAAATATTCCTGAGCCAATTTTACCATAGAACACTTATTTTTGTAGCTCAATTTCCGGCCAAAATTAAGAAATTTGAAGATCATCGGCCTAAATTAATTTACAGCTGACGTCAGTAACTTATCAGTAACTGATGTTACAAAAATAATGAAAACAGTTGTAATGCAGACCGAGTTTACTAATTTCCTCACCACTTCTGATTGGTTCTACTAATTATTTACATATCGGCTGTGCTATTAATTAAATTTATAAAATTTATACAGTAGTACTCGATAGTGAAGTGGTGAATTAGTAAACCCATGCAACCCAATTGTGCGCAGCTAGGGATAATAGAAAATATTTTAATGCAGTACTGCGGTGATGTACTGCGGTAAACCTTAAAAAAAACGTAAATCAGTTGTAATACCTTAAAAATAAGTATAAATAGCATCGTAATTCTGTTCAAGGAATTTCCATAATGGCGACGCAGAAAGTTAAAAATCTGTTAGTGCCTCCCTATATAGATAAAAATGATTCACAGAACGTAACAGATTTACAATGGACTACTGCGCTTAATATTTGGATATCAAGTCTTTCATTAATTTTAAAGTCAAAGAATGAAGAGTTTTCAAATTATTTATTTTATAATGAATCACTTCGAAAATTTTTAGAAACATTCTTAGGAATTCGAGCAAAAATTCGTAAATTTGATGATATTCAAATTAGACAACCAATAGAAATTGATTTAGATAAAAAAGTATTGGCAATATTATTACGACTTTCTGAACCATCGATTTCTTCAATTAAAGTGAAAAATGAAATTACATTGGGGGAGGCTTTATATCAGGATAAGATGATATCGGTACCATTTCTACTTGATGTAGTAGCGATGTACGGTAGATCAAATATTAATCAGATAGAAAAATTCTTTGATAATATAATTAAATCTGTAACAATAATAATTCAAGATTTCGAAACACATTCCAGTACGATTGTTAATTATATAAAAGTCATAGATGAAAAATTTCAGGAAATAGTAGATAATGAAAAAACGAGTAAAAGTGTTATTTATGATAAAAAAAAGATTGAAAATGCACTTAATTATTTAGAATACATGTTGGATATCTCAGTCACATTGGATTGTCTGTTCATAGTTTCAAAACCCGTGGCCAACATATTCAACGATAGGCAAGATTTTGAGGATAATATTGATTTCTTAATGACTATAAAGAATTTCTATGATAATACTATACCAATAATTTCGAAATTATTTGAATCTGATGATGAATCCTTGAATATTTCTAGAGATTTAATTATTTTGAAACATGCGTTAGTGTCACTTGCATACCATACTTTGAATGCATGTTATTTTAGTCCAATAGGATTCACAGTCAATGAAGGTGATATATTTTCATTTGTCAAATCGGATGACAAATTAGAAGACGTAGAGGAAATAAATTTAAAGATTGAAACTATGGGTGATATACTTCTCTCGTTCATTGAATCTTCGCAATTGGACAAGCCGGTTGAATCTTTTGTAGATGCACCATTACTTTTAGACGTGGAGATTGAATTTGATTTGAGTGGAAAATTAACAAGAATAAAAAATGAAGTCCTTGATGGATATCCTTTTTTTAGCATTTTATTATTGCAATTTATTATTGCATTTATTACTACGCTCTATTTTTGTAACAATTTATATTTATAATTTTCCTTAATTTTCACACTGATGACGCTAGGGTGGATTATATTATTGGGTCTCTGGAATTGTTGCGTAACATGAATCAAGAGAGCGATAAATTACCTTGGCAAATTCGATTAGAAGAGAAACAGAGAAGACATTTAGCGAGTTTGGCTAATAATATTAATTATAATCCTTTAATAACTCAGCAGGTTAATTTAATAATTCAATAAGTCTGGTTTCGTTAACAATAAGCAATACCTTATATATACGTTCGATTTTTCATTATTAGTCTGATAAAATTGATACGATCGAGAACAGTGATGTGCAACGTATATCCCTTATCTCACAGGTCCAGGACCTTTTCCCTGATCTAGGTGAAGGATTCATAGAAGAATGTTTGATAACTTTTGATAACAATGTTGAGATAATTATTAATCGGTTATTGGAAGATTCTTTACCTGATCATTTAAAAGAATTGGATCGTTCAATGGCTCGGTATGTTAAATACTTTAATTAACATAAAACATCAATACTATAACATATTTTTCAATATATTATGATTTTTAGTCTTGCTGTATCAGTTACCAATGATAGCGTGAACGGTCCAAAAGGTTCGATTTTATACGTTCTACTAAGGTTATGCCTTTTGCAACGTGAATTACAAACTCTTTTTAACGTGTAGTAGAAGAAAGCCTTTTAGCTCAACGTCAAAATATTTTTGACAATGATGAATTTGACGTATTTTCTGGTAAAAACATTGACTTTACACGTGTCAATAAAGGAAAGAAGAAGTAAGAATTTGAATATATATATATATATATATATATATATTACTTTGAAATTTGAGCACATTTCTAATTAATCTATCTTTTTTAAAGTCGTGGTACTGCAGACTCGTTATTGAGTGACAAGTCATTTGTGAAAAATCAAAAGGAATCAATTATAAATGTTGCTAATGAAATGATGTATGAAGATGAGGAAGATGAGGCTAGTAGTTTGATGTACGAAGATGAATATGACGATACTTATGACACTAGTGGTCTGAAAATGAGAGGCATCAATCTTCGTATGATCGATGAAATTGATGAAGATACAGAAGCTAGTAATACAGCGAAAGGAAAGGTAAATCAATTCATATAGTTATTGTTTACTAGGGATGTACCTTTTCGCGAGATCATTGCGTCATTTTTTTCATTTATTTCATTTCGCAATCAATATAATCACTAAAAGCTATTGGGTGATCAATATGGATGTCTTGTGCGAGCATGAAATTTTATTCTAGGTTTATACTCGCGTGGGGCATATCTCTAGTTTTTTTATGTTTTTATGAAATTCTAAGATTAAATTATCATAGGTCAATCCTGGTATTGCATATGAAAGTGAACTTATTAAGGCATTCCAATCAGATCAATCCATTTTTGAGAGAACTAATGCAGTAAGGAAATCAGATAAACGAGCTAGACTGAGGAATATCACACAAATGACTGATGAACAACTCGAAGGATGGTACATCATGTTTCAAAGAAACGTAATTATAAAATTTTTTTTTTATATTTTATTGTTTAAAATAATATTATAGACGATGATTTACAAATATTTTTAGCCAAGGAAAGATAAAATTCTTGAGAAATATGAATTTAAAGGCAATCGTGAAGAAGCATCATCTTCTGCATCAGAAAAAGAAACTAGTTCATCGGGAGATTCATTGTCGCGTCCTGGACGAGGAGGGTCCTATGTACGAGATAAGAATAATAGGGATAATTATAATAGGGATAATTATAATGGAGAATCATCGCAAACAAGGCATACAGCTACGGGAACAACAGCACCTACGGCACGCGGTCGAGGCAGAGGAAAACACCAAAAAAAGCATAATAGAAAGAATGCTCATTCAAGGAAAATGGGAAGAGGGTTTGGGACTATTCAAGATTAATCATATTACAATAATTGTTTGGAGGACTTAATGGCGAGACCGATTTTGTGTATATATTATGTACGCACCTATTTTTAGGTAGATAGCATCGGTTTCAGTTTCTAATTAACTACTATTATAATTAGTCCCAAACATCTAACAGTACCTACCTTCCTAGCACATTTCGTTAATCTTCGTTAGTTAATTTAATATCTAATTTATTAGCGACATTTGATCTTTAACGTTAGAAAACTTTTAACTAACCAGTTTCCCACGTGACACCAATGGCACCTCATCATACTGCAAAAATTTCGATTGATACGTATCTGTGACAGTATATTAAATAAATGATCTAGTTTTGTACAATTAGTTTTCCTTTTAAATTATAGATGCATTATAGATAATCGGTATTAAGAGAATAAGGACTACGAAATTGCAGATATCTGCAGGCAAAGTTAGATGTTTATTTTAGTTTCCAAGAAAGTTTCGATTAGGCGGTCGATTGGGCTAAATTGATTACCTAACTTATCCTAATGTGAGTTACGCCAAAGAAAAACCAGATTATGGTTTTTTTTTTAGTTTATAACTTAGTATATTACGAATAATAAAAAATTTATTATTAAAGTTTAAATGATGTTTCATATATCCTTCAGGGGCTGAGTAAAAGCTTGACTGAAGCTGTTTTGGCATCACACATTAGTGACCAGTATAAACGTACGTACGTACGTACGTACGTTTATCAGACTACTCTTTTTATGTACGTACCTACGTACCCAGAATTTCCTGATGCGTTTTCGAACGTCATTGATTGTAGTACTTGGGTGCTAATAACAGAGATACTGTACTATGAAAGAAGAAGAGTCCTTTACATTAAAATGAGCTTTCGATCGTCCCAAAATTCCAAGATAAGGCCTAAATTCCGAAAATTCATTCAATTTTTCGAATAACGAGTGTAAACCTACATTATTGGGTAAAAATCATGTGATTTAATCATCTTTTCGTCTTTGTCCACCGGTGAAGACCGAAAATACCCCTTGTCAACCTCCATATCCACATCCATTTTCCCTGACTTATCCTTTTCCCTGACATATCCAATTTACCCTTTTCCCTGACATATCCTTTCACTGACATACCATCACTTTACATAGTTTCAATACAGATCACACAAAGCTTAGAATAATAACCAATAATCGTGGAAGTTGTCTCGAATGATCAACCAATCACAAACTAATGCTAACGCTAAAAGCTTCAAAATTTTCCGATCGGAATTTAGCGTTAGTAAACATCTCGTGGTGAAGTTACACGAACATTTCATGTTTATCGTTTATATTACAATATTTCCAATTAAGTCTAGTTATGTTTGTGTATTTCAAATTATATCTTTACACTTTATATATAGTGATAGGTTTAAATTTTTATAGCGTAAATAATAAAAGCATATTGGTTTCATCAGTTTTCGTTAATGGACAATAAAATTTTACTAATAAGATTTCTTTTAAATAGCTATACATGGCTAAGATTTTTGACTTACCGTTACGCTGAGTATATTATGTAACATCAAAATTATAGACCAAGACGAACAAACCTAGTCACATGCTGAGTCATTAAAAGCAACTACAGGTAATATAGCGACAAGTATTTTTTTAAATGAATGCTGTCAAAAGGAAAACCGTGAACTACGTAATTGAAGGCATGTGATGTCTATCGTTTTTTAATAATATTATACGTCATTGTAGATTAAATCACCCTATTACAGGATTACAGGATTACTTAGAACCATGTGCCCTTCAATTATGTTATAATACGTATCGGTATATCAGTATACTCAGGGAATCGAAAAACGGGATTTACAGGCTTTTTTCTTTGGCAGAACTCAAATATTTAAGACATTACTATAATAGTTTAAAAAAAAATATCTAGATTTGGTTGCTTTATATAATTAAAACTCTTCTAAAAAAATCCCTAAAAACCGAAATCAAGTCATTTAAACCAGTTTTAAATCAGTTACAAGCTAAGATCTTCCAAACTTTTTTTAGTAAAACCAAAATCAGCTGCCACTCTTAATTCGAAGTGCACGTTATCAGGGAAAAAGTACATTTGCAGATTGTATATTTATTGAGACTCAATCTACATATAGTGTTACATAAATTGCTCAAATGATTCGCATTTTCTCCACTCATAGAGAGAATGCATTTGAAGTGCATTTCGACTGTGCCTCGCTCTAAATTTAATCTAATATATATTTATTATACGCAGTATATATATATACTGTATATATACTGTAATATATACATATATATATTATATAATATAAAACAATATCATACTGTATATTTTCACACAATAATTATTTTGTTTGTAATCATTACCAGATTTGAACTAGAAATTATGAAATTGTAACTTCGATGTTACATGTTAATTAATAAAGATCTCAAGGGTAATTGTTTTATTTATATAATAATAATGTTTCGATGTTTCATTCTTAACAAAGACCGCTTTCTATGTTTCAATACTTAATCCTCTCTTTTCGCATTAAAATATTTTACTCAGGTTAATCAAAAGTACCTATTATAAACCAACTTTACAACTTTTTAATAATCTGTATTAGAAAAGCAAATGGTAGCTGAAGTTGTAGACTATCGAGTTTCTCGACTTGTAGTCCTTTGTAAGGACTGTGGTCATGATGTTGGTCTCTACCCTGCTCGTCACAAATGTAAAATATCGGATGCAAATGCTCCTCCACTCCCTTCCATGCCCAAACAATATTCTTCTAACAAATCCAACACCAATAAACAGAGTAATGATAATAATACTTCTGAACAGTCTTCGGCCGCTAGTTTGTGGACCAAACTTAAGACTGTAAATAACTGGAGAGAAATGGCTGAAGGTAAGATTCTCATTTTAATTTTAATTACCTTTAATTAACTTCTTTCTTATTTTTATTACTTTCTTACTAAATAACTGTTTTTTTAGACGATTCTGTCATACCGGTCGTCGGTACAAAACTATGGGGTAAATTGTTAAGTGCAGCATCATCAGCTTATAGTGCTATTGATGAAAATTCTGATAATGGTATGCATTTTTTTTTTGTCTATATACCATGAAAATTCTTTACTCATCTTTTTTTTAAAAACTTAAATAAATTAGATTCAGAAAAAGAAGATTGGGAAGGTGAAACTCATATTTCTCGTATATTACGTGAATATCATCAACAAAAGACTGGTGATATTCCAGATTGGTTATATGATCCTAAACCTATTCCTTCACAGAATAATTCTACAAAAAATTCGACTTCCTCTCAAATAAATAAAATTCCTCCTCCTAATAAAATTCCTAATGAAGATTATAAAAATTCTTTACCAAATAATTCAACCTCTTTTCACCCAAATGATAATAATAATAATAAGGGTAGAAAACCAAGAATTTATGATGAAGATAATAATAATAATAAGGGTAGAAAACCAAGAAATTATGATGAGGATGATAATTTATTAAAACAAAATCAACCTGCACCATCTACACGTTCCATGAATAGAAGTCGTAGTGCTAATAATTTATCAAATAGAATTAACAATCCCAATGATCAAAGAAACTTTGTCCCTCCACCTGTTCCAAATAATTATGACCCGAGAATGCATAATAATAGACCTCCAAACAATTATGATCCACGATTTTATAATAATAATAGGCATCCAAATAATAATGGTTCAGGAATGCATAGTGATAGGTTTAATAATGAAAGGTATAATAATGTATTTGGTGATAGAATTGTTGAAGGGCTTAATGATAAGCCTAACGGGTATCATCAACGAGGAAATCAATTACCTCCAAGATTACAACCACCTTCAGATAATTTTAATAGAGCAAGAAGTGTTAGTCCTAATCCTTCATTTCGTGATCGAAATGCTAATAAACCAAATCAACAATCAAGAGGTTATAGAACAGCTGGTTATTTCTAAACTTTTTTTTTTTTCTTGTTTAGATAATTTATAATTTGTTTATTTTGGCTGTGTTGATTTTGTAAACATTTTTTTTACATTGTATTTATTATCAATTTAGACAAAGTATATAGTATATACTTTTCTTTTAATTACTGTAAATTTTATTTTCTTTATGAATGCTAGTTTCCTAGTAATTTTTACTATAATTCTTTAATTGTGATTTGTTTAGGGTATAAAAAATTGGTTCTTTGATTATCACCACCACTTAGATTATGATCAAAACTCTATCGATATCGCGAATTACCAATCTGCATTTACAAATATTGTATTCAATATATATAATTTTTTTTGGTTATTTTATTCGCGATATCGTATGAAGTTATATATTTTATTATGTAACTTTCTTTTTTTAAAAAAAAAAATCAAAAAAAAATCGAAATAAATAATGACAAATATAATTGAAAATTCACTATGTAATATACATGTATATATCGATATGTATTACGTATTGTAAAAATATATGACGATAATCGTAGTATTAATTAAAAATTATGTATTTGATTGGTTAATTATCACGGGAAATCACGGGTAGATCTACAAAAATTAACCAATCATATAAATGTCTTCCCCTTTGTTTTGATTTGCAGTCGCGATTTTTTTATTTTATTTATACTGTAGTTGTGTATTTCTTTAATTGATTGTCTTCCTCTTTGTTTTGATTTGCAGTCGCGATTTTTTTATTTTATTTGTGTATTTCTTTAATTGATCTCTATAATTTGATAGTTTTTGTTCTTGATTATGTCTCGTCCGACAAATCACCCTGGATATGAATCTTCCTCGTCAAAAGGAGACCGTCTCGAAGAACAAGTCTTTTATTTATTTAAGTCTAGAAATATGTGGGCTATTAGAACTAGGTGAGTTCACTAAATATTTGTTTATTGTTATGCATCTGAAGTTACGCTGCTCCTAGAATATTATGGTATCAAAGAACTGGAAGCACATCGGGCCATCGTCAAAGGTTTATTGGTCAGGGTAGCCGAGCGGTGAACGTTCTTCTTTGTTTACTATATTATTTGAAAAGAAATTGGAGTGAATAGGGTGCATGGTTAAGTGACCTGTTCCTGATCACAGGAGCTTTCCATTAACAAATTAGTCAAATATTTATAATTATATTTTATTAATTTTAATAGACGAGGTCCAGACAATGGAATCGATCTTTTTGGTTCTTGCATGGGATATAGTTTTCCAGTTCAATGTAAAAATCTTTCATCAAATGTGACAGCAGATCATATTAGAGCTTTTGTGGGTGCTATGAGTTGGTAATAAAATTTATGATATATATTTTTTATATTTTAATTGCCATATGATAAGGCCATGCAAATCGATTTTTCATTTTGTATAATCTGACTGATTCATTTTTTCAAGTTTTCTTAAAAAAATTTAATTGTATCAACTGTTCTATGTTTTTTTATTTTTATCTAATAAAGCTAAGATTATCTTATACGACCAATAAAAAAATAAAAAAAACTGATTGACTAACCCAAATTTCAGATTTTATATATAAAATGAAATTTTAATTTTGTGTGGTCTAAGGGAAAAATTAGGAATATATGCTGTTTATTTTTAATATTCTTTTACTGTTACTTATAAAGATAATATTCTGGTTTACCATATATTATTATACATATTTCAGGCTTCCTATAATGCCATTTGGTGTTTTTGTAGTGGCAAAATTAGACGGATATACAGAAGAAGCCAAAAATGTCGCCCGATGTTGCTCAATTAAAATCATCTTAACTGATATTGAAAATGTCATTAAAGATGTTGAATATTTTTGCCATAATCTGAACCAAACAGAAAGTTGGGAAAGAGTTTTTTTAAGAGAATTTAAAGAAGAATCCAATAAAAACAGAATCGTTTTAGATGAGTTGAAAAAGAGTATCGTAAAAACGAATAAAAGACTTGATAAGTATAATGATGAAGAAAAAGAAAGAACCAATAATCTAAAAAGATTAGTCATTGCATTTTATATTAATATATGTATAATGTTTTTTATTATTATTGTGATTATTTTTTTAAAATAAATACAGTATTATCCTACTTAAATAGAATAAAATTAAATAGTAAATTTCGTAAATTATAATATTTCTAAAAAAAAAAAATCAAAATCACATAATAGACGGCTGATTTTTGTTAGTAAAATTTCGAGTAATTCCGGCCAATTCTTTGCAATAATATTTAAATTATCAACGATATCGATAAAAAAAAGAATTTCTTATAGTACTGTACAATGCACGCTTCGAAAAAGAATTTATCACATTTTAGAATAGATAGATAACCCGCCCATAAATTGATATTTATTGTCACGGATGATCATTGGTGAAATTTGGACCTAATTTAATATGAAATTTTAGAATTTTTTAGGTCATCGCGCTATTTAATTTATTCGTATCCATTCAAGATCTCTTGCTGATACAAATTATGGTTAAAAACTTTTTTTCATGCCCATCATTAATGACACGTAAAAATTTTCATTTTCATCTTATAATAAAGAAATCCATATTGGAATTCTATCATGATTCATCATATGTCTAGTTAAAGGTTAAACTGTACTCCCACGTTATTTTTTATGATTAAGCATTCGGATAAAGGTATTTATTCGAAAATATATTACTAATACAGATTATGTTATCGCGTAAGTAATCTTTGTTACATGCTTATCAATACCATTCGGACAAAAGAAGTATATAGTAATTGATTCTATAAAAATCACATAGTCAGAAAGAACTCAATAATTATTCTATGAAACTAGTTATGCGACCCGTAAATTTCAAATAATATAAATAATCTACGGGTTACTTTAAATCTGTAGATATTCATCGGTTTAAAGTAACCCATAGATTATTTATATTATCTATTCAATGTTCGTTTCACATCTCTATATGAAACAAAAAGAAGCATGATAGCCTTATGTTAAAAAAAAAAGTATAAATACTAGAATAAAAATTTAGTATCAAATCTTAATTAAAAGATAAAATGCAATCTCAGGATGAAATAACTATTTTATACAACGGTAATATTGAAAATTATCGTATTAAATCGCTTAATGAAAAATATACAAATGGAAGAAACTTTGAACTTAAAGTTTATAATTTTTTAAGACAAAAAGAATACCATGTGGCACTTTCTGATAGCCATCCAATGATTTCAAACTTCAGATTTTTTTGGCTAACTAATAAAATAGCATTACAAATTGGAAATTGTAGAATCGCAGGAGATGGAAGCTGTGATATTATTGGTGATAAAAATGGAATACAAATTTTTGTACAAGCTAAATTTAGTATAACAGGAAAATATCCAAACCTTAATAAAGCATATATGGAATTTGCAAACACTATGAAAGCTCGAAGACCTACTAATGAGATAGGAATTTTCGTTGTATCAAATAATATTAATATAGGAAAATTAAAGAATATCACTTCAGCTGAACGTAAAATAATTATTTGCCACTTCGAAGAACTAGAAGGATATATTGAACAAATTGAAGAGGAACATAATATAGAAACGTTAAAGCTATTCAATGCTATTTCTAATGCAAACGATTGTCTTAATGACCCAAATTCATCGAGAGAAGGTTTAAAAAATCAACTTATTACATTAAAAAGTTACTTGGAAAATATAAGTGGTATAAATAATAACATAATGTCTCGAAACACAAGAAACTATATTAATATAAAAAATCTGAATAAGGTATTAGATATCAGTTTTAATTCTAACACGGAAGTTGTTTGGAACTGAATATTCTTCAGACCTCTCTACAGCCACATCCTATATAAGCACATTTTCTTTATAAAAACATTTTTTTAAAAACAATTATTAAATATAACAAATAATTGTCACTCTTCTTTATAATCACACTTTTTTGTATCCCAAGTGTGATCAACAAACCTTATGCATGTATTAATAGTTTTTTTCAAATCGCTAAGGTTCCAAAAGACCTAATCATTTATATTTTTATCGAAGACAATATTAATATGAAGAGAAAATTTTTGTTTAATATAAATTTTTAAAAAATTGTAATAATGCAAAAAAATTTATAGTTTTTATAAATGTTTCTTATATTAATCCAATCAAAAAATACGGACCCGTGGCAGGTATAGATGAGTGCCTAAATTATTTTTGGCTTGCCGTAAATAAAAATTGCCGTAAATATTTTAGGCAGCCTAAACCGTAAATAATTACGGCTGCCTAAAATAATTACGGCTGCCTAAAATAAGCTCGGCTGCCGAAAATAAGCTCGGCTGCCGAAATAATTTCGGCGAGGTAATAACTTATGTTCGTACGTAAGTATCGGGTAATAATAAGTAGGGATGTTACTGTAAATGGTTTGCCCGGACTTGTTCCGGTCCGGTCCCTAAAAAGTATGGTCTTGGAGTTAAGTACTAGTTCACCCCGTCATATACATGGGTGCCTAAATTCGGGATGATTTACGGCATTACGGCATTTTTTATATTTTCGGCATAGTGCTTCGAAATGCCTAAATGCCGAAATTATTTTCGGCAGCCTAAAATAATTACGGCAGCCTAAAATAATTACGGCAGCCGTAATTCTTTTAGGCAGCCGTAATTATTTTCGGCAGCCGTAATTCTTTTAGGCAGCCGTAATTATTTTAGGCAGCCGTAATTATTTTAGGCAGCCGTAATTATTTTAGGCAGCCGTAATTATTTTAGGCAGCCGAAATAATTTCGGCATTTAGGCATTTCGAAGCACTATGCCGAAAATATAAAAAATGCCGTAATGCCGTAAATCATCCCGAATTTAGGCACCCATGTATAATTGCATGTACTGCTTGCATCATCAATATTATCTTCATCTAATACATACGCTGTGGAAAAGTCACGATTTTCAGGTGTAGAAAGTGGTGAAACTTGTATTGCTTGAGTTGTTTGCGAGTTGTCAAGAGAAAACATATTTAAAGGCACGTTTAATGGCACTTCAAAAGAATAGGTGGTAGGATATTCAAAACAATTTCAAAAGGCCAAAAATGAAATAAACTTTATTAGCTTTGGCTACTAAAAAAAGTCTTGTCGTAATTTATTTTACGCGTTCAAGTCATCACATAAGTCACGTTAATAGAAATAAAATTATCTTATTTTATATTCTTACCTTGGTTTGAAACAAAAAATTGAATGAGATCATTCAAATAATCTTGATTGTTTATGATTCATTGTTATAAATTTTGCATTAGTTTATGGAATTTTTAAACATAATTTGTTAATTGTGTAAAATTATTCAGTTATATTCTTACCTTGGTCTGTAACCAAGTCATAATCAATATTGAAACTCATTGCATAAATCTAGTCTAGCCAAAATCCTTATCATTAATAAGATTAAAATCATGTTTTATAAACTAAATAATCTGCGAAAAGATTCTAATTTTCTAATTAAATTCTATGCACGTTTTCTCTGAAAAAAAAAAATATATTACCTTGGTATTTAATGATCTTTCTTGCTATAAGTAAAAAAGATGAAGAAAAGGATGACGAACGATGTCAATTTAAGAAATTTCCGTTCAATAATTTCTTGCACAAACAGAAATGTGAATAGAATCTAAATGGTTGTAAATGTCATATAATATAGTATTATAGGAAAACAATTTATTCCTATAAATAGACCGATTGACGAAAATCCAAACGAAAAAAAAACTGTTCAAAAAAATATATATATAGTTTACTATAAAACTTGCTTATGGCTTGTTTTCCTTGGTATTATATAAATTATGTATAATTCTGAGTATTTATTCTATTTAATAGCAACTTATTAGGTCAGGATTCATTTTATCTCTGACTTGTTAAAAATGAATCAATAAGATTTTAAACGAGCTATGTGGCTTCATTTACTCAACTTTCGGATGTCTTGTTTCTGGAACTTTGTATATTATTAACGTTAATGTGTTCAGTTTAATCTTCTTCAATTCTATTTTATTACTTTAGCTGATGGAATCTTTTTCATCATATACCTGGACGTGCATAGTTTTGAATTTCCTTCAAATGCGTTATACTATATTGAGTTTATAAACTGAATTTATTATTTAGTAGAATTCGAAAATTAATTAAATTTAATATAATAATCTGCTTATGATTTTGATAATAAAAATTACGAACTCTCACTTCGGAAAGGAAGGTACCTTTTTAAATGTGAAAATAATTAGAAGGATTGGGAGCTACTGTGTGTGGGAGAACATTATGATATAGATAGGAATCTTGATAATGGATAACTAAAGCCAAATTTGAAAGAATTTCGTAAGGCAAAAAAATCTTTATAATGCAGATCTTAATAATTTTTTAAGACCGATGGTTAAAGATCGGAATTCTAAATATTTTTTTAAAAAATACAAAGGTTTTTTAATCTTTAGATAGGAAAAATGTTATTTCAATTTTATAATTTTATGGATAAATAATTTTTCTGAAATTTTTTATTTTCATTATGACAAAAATTATACTTGACTAATCAAAAATTAGCACACTTTATTTTTACAGTAAAGACGCGAAATTGTTAATAAACTCAGGAAAAAGATCTTTTTATATTACATATTACAAGGTATCATCTTGTCTAAAATTTACAAAAATGAAGTAATTTTTTTTAAAAAAATTGAATTAAATGTAGAATAGATATCACCTCCGGCGAAATTTCGAGGGACGAAGAATTAGCCATATTCACGTAATCGCGAATGTGGCACAGCACCACTTCATGTGACCAATTTGTTGCGCAATACTGATTTGGTCACATGAAGCAGTGCTGCGCCCGCCATATTTCTCGATTACTTGAGTGCGGCTAATTCTTTGCCTTTCAAAACTTGCCGAGGTGTCACCTATTCTATATTTAATTCGATAAAATTAAACTATTCTATGAATTGTTTATTTTGAATTGAAGTGTAACTTGTAAAATAAAATGCCATCGAAATATATTAAATTCGATTCAATAATTTCAATGCAATTGTTAAAGAAATGAAAAAATTGGTACCATTCGTCGACTAAAGATGGATTAATTGAACCCAATTTATTTAAAAATCTTTTATCTCTAAATCTGCCAAAATTCTTCTTTCCTTTAAACTTCGATTCTTTACGTTGTAGCTTGAAAGTTTTACAAAATTTGCTCGGTCAACTGTTTCTGGACATTTCTGATTTGTTTATTTTTTGTTTAAGGATGTTTTCATTTATAATTTCCAGTGCATTTGCATTTTGTTGGGATGCTTTGTTGATATTTTCTTTTAATTCATTTTCTGATTTACTAGACATCCTTGAAATAGGTATCTGATATCTTCATAATAGTAATTTACTTTATTATACTACATAATATATTCAGTTGTTATAAGTCACATGATTTATTGCGCCTCATTGGTGAATTGAACATGTAAGAAATTAAACTTTTGCTTTAACTTCAATGTTCAAAAGTTTCAAAATTTCATTGTTGAGAAATGTCCATTTAATTGTCAAAAAAATCATTTGCCGAGTTTGATTTGAGATAGTAAAACCTCTCTAAGTGATGCGCTATAGCCATGCTTGGAGTGCACTCTCAACCTCTACATATGCATATGATTTTACAGCCCGGACCTATAATAAATTAACACAATGGTTGTCGGAATAATAGTAGTAATACACACCCTTTCTAAGTGCACACTATAGCTCCCAAGGTGTACTTTGTAATTAGGTTTAGAATTAATTTATTATATATAATATATTAAAGTTGCTTTATTCTTAATTTAGTATTATAAAAGCTATCGTTTTCATTGATGTCAATACTATCAATAAAGTTTTGAAGCCAAGAATTGACTAAATTTGGCTCAAATTTTTCCAATTTTTCTATAAGTCTTTTAATATCTAAATGTAATATTAAACCCCCTTTGTCAAATTTTTCTTCACGAGTCATGTTAGCAAATTTAAATTCTAATATTTTCCATTTATCGTCATTTGTTTTTTTTGATGAAAAATTACTCAGTAATCTGTTTTCTACTTCCGATTCATGATTTTGGAAATCATTATTGTCATTCAGCTCATTTACTGTGACACTCATTTCATTTACTGTGACTTTTGTTTTATTCACCGACTCTTCGTCATAATATATTTCATAAATAAATTCCTCTCCAGTTAGGTATTCGTTGAAGACTTCTTGAGCGGATTCAATTTTGGACAAATCGTTAATTAAATAACAAACAAATAAAAAGGTTGTAAGGCAAAAGATATTTAAGAAATCATCCATTTTGCAATTTACTTTTAAGAAAATGCGATTTCGCACTGCCTAAAAGGTACTTCAATTGATTTTAAATAAATTCATTGAAATCTAATTTCTGCATGACTTATTCTTGTAAACAATCTTATTTAATTATTGTATAAAAACTTGTATATGTGAAAAAAAAGAAGCTTTTACATTTTTCAAGACTGGATGCATTATCGCGCAGCATTTTTAAGACTTAGTACGCGTATTAAATGCTTTGTTCTTTGTTATCCATAAACTTGTTTTTCAAAAAAATTCTCAAGACTGTTGTGCATTATCACACAGCACTTTGAGGCTTAGTACATATGCGTTCGAAGTTCGAACGCGTTTTGTGTGATACAATGCAATTAAGTATAATAGAATATTAAACCATTTTACATTACAAACTGGCACAAATTTCTTCGTGGAACATAAGAACAATAATAAACAGTTTAGTTTAATTCTGTAATTGTAGCAATGGCTATAATCATGTGACTTAATACTGCAAAATACCAGCATTTTTGAGGCTTAATAAGCTTTGTTCTTTATGATTCTGTATTTCCTGCAATGCAATTATGTGAATTATAAGAAAAAAAACTTGTTTATTCAAAAAAAAAGAATTTTTTTTTACATCAGATTTTTCGCAAATGTGCATTATTGCGCAACACTTTGAGGCTTAGTACATACGTGTATTCGAACGCTTTATACTATTAAGTGAATTATAAGAGAGATTACCGAATTTATTTTTTTGCATAATAAAAATATTAATTACTTATTGTAACAAAAAAAAACTTTTTTATATACTGTATAACTAATTTCAGTAAAGTTGGCATCAATGTGAAACATAAACGATTATATAATCACGTGAATTGGCGCTAATAATTTATAAATTAGTTAAAATAGAATATTTGTTTTACATTATAAATTCGGCACCATATCAGTAGGCATCATCACTGTATCAATTGATAATTTGATTGATCTAAAAAACTAATATAAATTGTACGATAAAACTAGAGTACAATTTATATTAACAACTATCAGTTATATATATTTTATATATTGCATATGATAGATAAAATAATAAAAAAGGTATTAAGTTTGCTATAAAAGAGCTCTCTTAAGCAAAGCTAACTTTTCCGTATACCTATTTATATATCAAATAATAAACAAATCACGTAATTTGTTCAAAATCTTTGCTCTCTAAGAAATCCAAACTTACAGCTTCCCAAAAAATATAAAATCAATAGAATCCGTATATACAGACATTCAAAAGGATTAACTATAACATTTGTTAGAAATATAAGGGTAACCATCGCATTTTTTGAAAACAAAAGATGATCGTAATTTAGCAAACACAATAAGAACAAAAGCTGTTTGTGCTATACTTATATTAGAACATTCCAATAAAAAAACAATTTCTATACAAAATTTGAACTTAATCAAGTAATATACGACAAAATTTTCAAGGCTTTATTTGCTAAAAACGGAAGGGGAGAAACTTCAGCAACTAACTTAAATACAAAAACAGAGAAAATTACAAAATATGAAATGGTAAACCTGATGTTTTTTCTGAAAACCCTTAGCCCTAAACACGAAAAATTTATAACTAAAATGTTAACTGGTTAAATAGTTCACATTTCTAAAGTTTTTAAATTTTTAGTACTTCATTTAATTAGTTTCTAAATAATTTTTTGATATTATTATTTGAGATTTATTTTCTTATAGTTTTTTTGTCTTGTGGAAGAAAAACTTGTTTCTCAACCATGATGCTAAAAATTTGATAAAATGACTTTCAACAATTAAGAATCACCTATTTTTAACATCATTATTCCTATCATACAGCTTTGTTCTTTATGTTTCTGTATTTCCTGCAATGTAATTATTAAAAAACTTGTTTATTCAAAAAAAAAAGAAAAATTTTCAAGAATGAATTTTTGTAAATGTTGTACAGTGCTTTGAGTCTTTGTACAACTCAAACTTATAGTTACTATTGTTTGAATTTGTCCGTGCCTAAATCCCAAATTCATTTCTCAATTTATTAATAAACTTTGTTTAAACAAAAGGTAGATATTCTTAATCTCTTTAATCCTGTAAATAAGAATCAATATAATATAAAAAAAATTGTTATTAGAGAAAAAAATTTTTCATTTTCTCAAAACCTAATTTTTCGCATTTTTTAGTCCAAGTTGCATATTAGCACGTGTTTTGTTCTTTGTGTTACAATGTTACAATATATTCTGAATTTATTCTTTTTAAATAATAATAAATTCGGCACCAATTATTGTGAAACATAAGAACAATTAAGGTTAATTCATTTTTTGTACGTAATCAAATAATAGTAATGTAACAAAGATTATAAATAATTTAATAATTAAATACATATATAAAAACGAATAAGAAAAAAAAAATGAATAAGAAAAAAAAAAATTCTTAAATCATTAATCCCAATTAATTATTTAGGTCAGTATTTGGTATCGCCATTGGTAATTTTAAGCTATTGCTACTCAAGTTAATTAGTTTAAAGGTGAGTATCACGACTTAGCATTACGAATGTTATGAATAGTGATTTTACACCATTAAGTGTTTTTTTTATCTATTTGATATCCATACGACTTCGAAGCGAAATCATAAGAGGTCGCTGCTTTGTGTGAATTTTTTTTTAATTAACGATGCTTGTTAGATCCACTTTTTAAAAATAATGCCGAAAAAAAGAATACGAAATAGGGTGAGTTTTCTCATTGATTACTTGTCGAGTTATAGTATATCCAAAGTTACGCTGCCACATCGGTGCAATAAAATCTGATAGAGAATTAAAAGCGCATTGGGCCAACCATTTGGTTGAATGTTCTCCTCTATCAGTTATCGATGTTCCCGTAGTACTGGCCCTGTCTGCGTTAGAGAGAACTTTTCTGTATTAAAATATTATAAAGTGTGCGTCTGGGAAGTTGGTGAATAGGATATACTCTAGCATTGAGCATGTAACCGTTGACTATTACGGCCATGTTCATTGTTAGTTAATAATTATGACGCAAGTTTTTAATAATTAAATTTTACCCAAAAAACAAATTCTCGTTTGCCTATGAAGCAGCATTTCATAGTCATTCACTAGAACTACTAGAAAATGGAATCTGTAATTTTATTGTTTAATCATTTTTATTATAAATATTAATATATAATTTAATTAAAAATTTTTAGAATGGAATTGTTGCAATGAATAATAAAGAAAATTTTTTTTAAATAAAAATTAATAAAATATGAATGATTTAATTCGAGTAATAAATAAATAAATAAATAAAAAAATTGGCTAAATAATGGCTTAAAACTAGTGCTCAATGTTAAATAACTCAAGAGAGAATTGCTATTGAAAATTTTTGACTAACGAAAAAATTTCATGAACTTATCAAGACCATCAGCTCCTGTCATCTCCAAACCAAAGAACTTCCATTATTAACTGGAAAATCGATCGGAGCTTCGTCATCTAAACTAGTCTTGAGCTATAAATTCGGCTTTTACTATAAATGACCTATTTAGAAAATCATTTATTGCAAAATCCCATGCGAAATACATTCTAAAGAAAAAGAACATTACTATTTATAATAAATTAAATAAGTAAAACTTTTTTAAAAAAATACTTATCAATTGTATTTTTAGCTATAAGTCTCTTTACCGGAATAAATGATAGCTCGTTTGGCTTTCCATTAGACTACAAATATTTTGTTGCTCTTTGACGAAAGGACAGATAGTAGAGATAAGTGCATGTCTCTCAAGCTTAACAAGGTGTTTAGAATTTAGCAAATTAGTTAGCCAATTGATTCACAAAAAAATAAATATAGTAACTTAATTTTGGATAAAATTAAAGAAAGTTGGTTTGAAGTAATTTTGAATCCTGCTGATTTTTCAAAACGAAAAAGAACATAATGCTATTTCATCTTGTTTTTACTATAAAAGTAATGGTCAAAGTAAAAAGTCAATAAACACGAATACCATGGATGCCATCATAATACTCTCCAAACTCCTTTTTTAAATGAAAAATTTCTAAATCTTTAATGTCTTTTTGTAATTCAAGAATATCTTTAAGCATAGTTTTATATTCAAGGGAAAAAGAAGCTTTTACAGTACAAGACAATTACTTTTACATGAAAATTTGATTTGTTCTGAAAGGTATTCAAGAAATTCATCAATGGTATAATTCTTTTCATCAATAGTGTATTTTTTATCTTTATAATTCTCTATCTTATCTACTGATTCATAATTTAAACCTATATTTTTGTTCTTCGATATAATCATGTAGTTTATATTCAATTCAGAAGTGGAATTAAATCGATCAGATGCTTGATTTAATTGATTAGATGCTTTATTCATTATTATGTTATTTGCCATTATTAACACATTTTAAAATGACTTTTAAAATAGTGGCTTTTTTCGCACTAATATCCATTGTTTTTAGTGTCATTTTTGTCAGTTCAAAAGTATTTAAGCTATTGTGAATAGTATTGAGATACAATAATAAGAATTTCAAATTTACTATGAATGTAAATCAAGAACGACACTTTGCAAATAGCCTCTATTTTTATTAGGTTGTTTCAGTCCTAATTTATAGTAATAAATATATTGCTTAGAAGTGTCAAAAATAACACTATACATTTTTTTTATATATAAAATATGTCGCTGATTAATAATGCTGAACAAAAAATTTAATAAACTAAATTACTAGAGACTACATCTACTGTACTACACTGCCTTTAGTATCCCCCCATTTAATATCCCCCTTCAAATAATACCCAGATACATTACAAAAAAAAGTCTCAAAAAATTGTATAAAATCTGGGTATTTAATAGATTTAATTGAATAAATTGTTCAGGTATATTTTTAACAATGAAAAGAAAATATAAATTTAAATCTAATAAATTAATTTATAAATTAATCTAAAAATTATAAATTTAATTTTTATTATACAATAAAAAAAACGGGTAATATTTTTTTATAGTCCTTTCTTATTCGGTATTTTTTGTTACTAAAAAGCAAATAAAGTAATGCGAAAATATAGAAAACCCATAATAAACCAATCAGAAAGATGATTAATGCAAAAGTTTGATTGTTGGTATCAGGATAATCAAGATTCATCTTAATTGAAAGAATTGAAATAATAATAATATAGACAGATAAAAGAAGAATTAAATTTGAATTGACCAAATTTATCCATTTAATTTTTTTGGTTAATTTTTTTAGCAGCTCTAAGTCAGATAAGTCAGATAAGTCAGGTAAGTCAAGTAAGTCAGGTAAGTCAGGTAAATCATTTAAAATCTTATCATCAATTGTCACAGGTTGAATTTCATTCTTAGTATTAGAGGTTCTATTTATGAGTTTTTTTCGGATGGATAATATCAACGCTATAATTCCACTTAAACCTATAAAGCCTGATGTTGTGATAAAGCCAACTTTTCCGATTAATCTTTTTTCAACACACCACAATAGCACTGCTCCAATAATCATAGTAAAATTTGCTCCAAGTAAGTTTATTGCAAGTAATTTATTTCTTTTAACCAAATGCTCCAAAACTTTAGTATATTCTTTTTTAAACTTTAATATATTATACTTTTTTTCTTGAATGTTTTGAGTTATCATACTAGGAATTTGCAGGAATTTGCTAGGAATTTGTAAAAAAATTTTTTAATAAAAAATAAATGGATGAAAAGATTTTAAAGGAAAGGAGTACTAATAGTAAAAGTCCTCAAGTATTTTAGTAACACAGTACTGTAATAAAATAAATTGGGTAATAACGATAATCAATGCTATTTTTAATATGTACGTATTAACATTAAAGGAGAAACAATAAATAAAATTAGCAATAGAATTTCTAATTATTAATTGATTTATTAGGTTAACAATTTCATGTTAACATTGTTATTGATTGATCAGAATTTATAACAATATATATATATGTATATAGTCTAGAGCCTCCGGATTTTTATAGTAG